ACTGCTGAGGGGAGCAGCGGGCGGCAGGAGAGGTCTGCGCGCCATGTGGGACCCTCACCCAGGGTCCGGGGATTGAACCGGCACTGCAGAGGCTGCAGGCAGCTTCGCAACCCAGTGCTCAACCGCTGCGCCACCGGGGAGGCCCAACATATTCAGGTCATTACCGATCCCAAGTCATTGCAGCTGTAGGCCTGAGGTCCCCTTTCCTTGCTCTCTGTCAGCCAGGGGCCACTCATTCCTTCTTGTGTTACCTCCTCCATCTTAGGAAACAATGGCATGTCCAGTCCTTTTCAGAATTGAAATTATCTGACTTCCCCCTCTTCCTACCAGTCAGAACAAACTCCCCCCTTTTGTTAAATGAATGATATGTTTACCTGAGTTGCAGAACTCAGGGTCAGTATTCAAAAGAATCAATTGCTAGCAGCATATGGAAAATGCAAATTTTAAAAGGCTACCATTTTATATAAAATAAAGCCCAGCACATGTTTTAGTATATATGTGTGTCTATATAAAACAAACTGAAAGACCTGTGCAAAAAAGCTATCAGAAAAACAATGAAGGAAAATTATAGTTGGCTATATCTGGTTACGAATTATATTACTATTATGAAAAAATCTCAATTTTCAAACTTAATCTATAGATTGATTGCAATATAAATCTCAGCAGTCTTTTAAAAATGATAGTAACAAACAATTCTAAAATTTATGTATAACCATAAAAGTTCAAAAATGGTTAAAATACCCTTAAAGAAAAAAGGGAGGAAGATGCACTCTGCCAAACGTGAGATGTTCTATGAAATTGATAATTAAGATGGCATGGTGTTGATGCAAGAAGAGATAGATAATGTAATAAATAGCCTGGAGATGGAACTATATAGATAGGGGCTTCTAGCTTATGACAGTGATGGCCTTACAGAGCACTGGGAAAGGACAGTCTTTGAAATGAATGAACATATGACAATTCCTATAGAAAAAATGAAATTTGACCCAATCTCACATTATATACAAAAATATCAACCTCAATTACATTGCTCTAAATGTGTAAAGTAAAACAATAAAGCTTTTTGAATAAAATACAGAATTCATTGTCTTTGAAGTAGGGGAAGACTTCTTTTAAAGAGACAAAAAATCATTCACCATAAAAGAAAATATTAATAAATTTATATCAAAGTTTAAGAACTTCTGTTTGTTAAAATTACCAAGAAACTGTCAAAATATTCATAGAGTATAGAAAGGTAGGGCCTCCCTGGTGGTGCAGGCAGTTGAACACAGTGCTGTGAAGCTGTCCACAGTCTCTGCAGTGCCTGTTCGATCCCCGCTGGCCACGGAGCAACCCACAAGACAGGGCAGACCTCTCCTGTCTCGCCCGCTGCTCCTCTCAGCAGTGTTTTCCATCAATCTGCCTGTTCTGTTCCCCGCTCTGTCTCTGAATCTTCTCACCCTCCCGCGCATCTGGCCTGTACCCTGGTTCTTGTATAAATAAATAAATCTTAAAAAAAAGAAAAAGGTTCTTATTGAGAATACATGAAGAACTCCAATCAATAAGATAAAGACAAAACCAAATAGAAAATTTGTTGTTGTGAAGAGGCTATCCAGTGACTAAAATATATTGGTAAAGATACTCAATGTCATTGTTTATCAGGGAAATGCATAATGAAATATTGAATCCATAATGAAATATTGTACACTTTAGGATGGTTAAAAGTTAAACTGTTGATAATGTCAGTTATTGATGAGGATGTGGAGGGTTCTCATATAGCTTTTGGATAAGGACTTTTCAGCCACTGCTTGTGGGCCTAGAAACTAGTAGAATGAACCAGTTTGACACTGTCTACGACAAGGGATTATATGATATCTGATTCTTAGCTATTTATCATCAGAAATGCATGCATAGGGGACCAGAGTCATATGCAAGAATGTTTATGAACATTTTTTTTTATAATTGCTTGCCTACTGAAAATAATTGAGTAACAACATTGTATCTTCATGCAAAGGAATATAGCAGTGACACAGAATAACTTATATGGTGAATGATTATCATAAGTTGGTAGAGACAGTTTCACAAACCAGGCAAAAGTAAACCATGGGGCAGGGGATCTTAAAGATGATTGTTTAACTGGTAAGAAGCCAAGAAGTGATTACAGAAAAAGTCAAAAGTAGTTAACCTTTGAGGGACAAAAAAGGCTAGTGATCACTAAGAGGAGGTGTGAGGGAGACTTTTGGGATGCTGACAGAACATGACTTTTTGTGACAAACAGTTGCACCAATGAACAAAAAAGGAAGCAAGAAGTGTCTGTTAGACAGATGTAAGCCACCTCACCAGCAAGATTCAGCATTGGAAATCAGTGACATTACAAGAGAAAATTGATTTTGTACTTAGAGGAAAAACTCTCAATCAAATGTGAGGGCAGAGTAAAATCATTTATCTTCATTGCACTTTTCTGAGGAAATTCCTTGCGGATGTACTCCAATAGGAACGTGTTTAACACAAGAAATAGTAGAGGCCAGAAAGAATCCTAGGATGATAGCTGTGCAGCAGGCCTTTAAGAAACACCAAGAAAAATGTCTCCACAAATAATGAAATAGATTCTAAACAAACAATAATGTAAGAAGCTAGGTGATATGGTGTACTGGTGATAGACTTTTTAAGGGTATATTTTTCTTAAGAAAAATAAGTTTATTAGAAACTTGTTGGAGAGAAGTTAGAAAAAGTAATGGTCTAAATATAAAACACATTTCAAAGGACATGATTGAGCAATTGATGGAATGTAAGAAAAGTGAATCCATTTGACCTTGAGGCTGGAAACACTCTCATTCTCTTAGGAGTGCCAGCAAGGATCATGTGATCTTAAGTAAATGAATTATAATCCCAGCTCTGCAATTAGTAATATTTACACTCTAGATATTAATTTTCAACTTTTAGACATATCCAAAGGGAGAAACTCAGAAGACTTAATTATAGGGATTGAATAAGATGTTAGCAAACTCGACCATTCTCCACAGTCCGGAGGGAAAACGAAGGGGGAGAGTAGAAAGCTGAAAAGAAAAGAAGTGGAATGTAATCTTCTCATTTCACATAATGGGGAGGGAGTCAGGAGGTTCCTTTGAAAGTTGATGGAACAAGAAGTTTAAGCAAGGGTAGACAAGGAAGAAAACTAAAAATAATATGAGAACAAAAAATTGGAAGGAGTTGGAGATTTCAGGGAAGTGACTAATCCTCAGTTTTCATAATGGAGAGTGAGTAAATAATTTCTAAAATTGATAATTGAAGTAGTGATAAAAGTTACTTGAAGTTAAGAAGTGACCACCAGAAGTAAAGTCAAAATAACTGAAAGTGTTTGCTCCTGGAATTAGAGTTAGGAAAAGGGAAGCAGATCTCTGCTCATTTGATCAGAATAGGTCCACTTGGTTCATTTTGGACAAAAACTTTTGAGTCCAAAAAGTGGTTCTGTTTTCAAATTCTTGAGACTGAGAAATATTTGTAGGTAAAAATACATATTTGTGTACATGTGCATTAATTTGTTTTGTTTCACAAATGGATTTACCTTTAACATTTTATAACTCATATGAATGGTGCATTTCATATAGGCATGTAAATGTACATAAGAGTATACATGTATACATAATGTAAACTGAATTAAAGAAAAAATACTTCTAAAGTAACATGAAGTTTCTAATAATTCTTAAGCAAATGTCACAGTGGACAGCCTTCAACTTAAAAAAAGGTTGAATTAAGTTGGGATTATTTAACTAGAATTCTTATTAGGAGTAAGTAAGTGTTAATAGTGTTAGAAAAAGAATAGAATAAATACAATCAATAATTTATATATAACTCTTAGGTTCTCAAGTGGTCTCATGCAGCTTTTAACCACTAATGAGTAGCCAAAAAGATAATAGTGACACCAGTGGTACTATTAGCACTATTTTGGAATCTGAAAATATACTATCGGGTTACTCAATTTTCATGTCTCTTATTGGGAGGAAAATGAACCATACATTTCAACTGGGAACTTGGATGTCATTTCTAATCACAGTCTCTAGAAGATTTTGTTCATGAGGATACAGTTCTGGTAGAATTTCATATATATTCTACTGTATTCATTGACAATATATTCATGTTTGCTTACATGAGGAATTTTGTATCTTAGGGATTTACTTGCGCTAAGATGTTGGCTGCTCTTTTCTTTTTAGAGTCTTGGGTGGGGGAAACGCTATCAATCAAAACTTAGATTTATTATATTCTTCTCATGAGCTCATTTCTCATCAACTATATCCTTCACTGATATTCCAAAATATGCTTACGTTTTATTCTATAATAGCCAATGACTTTTTTTTAAAACTTACTGACATATTTAAACTGAAAATTTAAGGGCCTCCCTGGTGGCGCAGCGGTTGAGCGCTGGGTTGCGAAGCTGCCCGCAGCCTCTGCAGCGCCGGTTCAATCCCCAGCTGCTCCCCGGCCACCGGAGGAGGGTCCCACATGGCGCGCAGACCTCTCCTGCCGCCCGCTGCTCCCCTCAGCAGTGTGCTTCGGTCCTTCTGCCTGCTCTGCTCCCTGCTCTGGCTCTGGTGAATTCTCTCACCCTCCCGCGCTTCTGACTGTACCCAGTGCTTGTATAAATAAATAAATGAATAAATAAATAAATAAATCTTTAAAAGAAAACGTTTTAAAAAAAAAAAAAAGAAAATTTAATTTCTTGAATGGTCTTTACATGCTCTGTAATAAATTATTTGGTTCTGAACCTAATAATCTCAACTAATATAAATGAGAAGTCAACATACAAAGAATTGCTGAATCTTCACCACAGCTGCTGTGTCCATGCCTCTGTGGGGGAATTCAACCCTTAGCCTTGCTCTTCATGTGCAGAAGTACCTTGAGTGGAAACAAGCAGAAAGACTTCTTTATTTGTTACTCATTAAGATTATACACTAAATAGACACTTTGTACTGCTATATCTTCCAAAGCCATTCTAATAGACTGCTTATATTTCCTAATTATAGTGCTGCTTTTGATACAGTACTTGGGATAAATGTTGCTGTCAAGAAACTAAGCCGACCATTTCAGAACCAAACTCATGCAAAGAGAGCTTATCGTGAACTTGTCCTCTTAAAATGTGTCAATCATAAAAATGTAAGTTGTATCCATGTTTCTCCTCTGCATACTTTAATATTGTCAATGATGTGATAATCTGGGTATTTGGAGATAAAATGAATTTATACCTAGGGTAAACTAGTGATTAAAACAGATTTTATTGATAAAATCCTTCATTGGGGAAATAGAAGTCAACATGGGGCATTTTAGGTCACTTAACAGGGATAGGAATGTCAACTGACCCAGAGCCCATTTGGGTTTCACTATTTCTGATTATATAAAAAGTTGACTTAACAAATTAGGAAATAAATTAATTTTTTTTTGAAAAACGTTCTATAAGTAGCTTTTTAATATGAACTTATAATATGAACCTTAAAATTTTAAATAAGTGTTATTAGATGATGTTATGTTGAAATAGCTGTACCTGGTGGTGCAGCGGTTGAGCGCTGGGCTGCGGAGGCTGCCCACAGCCTCCCCAGCCCTGGTTCTTTCCCCGGTCGCCAGTGAGGATCCTACCAAAAAAAAAAAAAAAAAAAAAAAAAAAAAGCTGTACCTGGCGTCTCCACAGATATCAAAGCACTGTAAATTTTAAGGTATTTAAGAGATTTAACAGCATGTCTCTAGAAAATGGGGTACTCAGGCACAACGGATAGCCTACTGATCTCTGACCATTATTTTGAGCAAGATTTTGACAACTTTGCCATGTTATAAAATCATAAATGTCAGTCTGGAAGGGACTTTAGAGATAACGCCATGTGACCCTTTTCTGTTGGGAGAGGATGAGTTTTTAAGATTACACTCAACTCTGTATGGCTCCCTTAATTTTAACATTTATGCTGAATCTACTGTAGGGACATTAAATATAAAAAAAAGATAGATTCATTCTTTTGAGTCTGTGGTATGAGTTTGTTTTAGTTTGTCCAGTCCAGTGCATTTTTAATTTATGTGAGAAAAAAATTGTTTTAATTCAAACAATATAAACATGAAAGCAAAATTCCCTGAATTATGCTATCCACAGATTGGTCCGCATTCCTATGCCTAAATATACACACATAAACAAGATCATTTATGTAATTATGCAGCATGTTTTTTTCTATCATAGAATATTCACTAGATCTCATACATAAATGTGTATAAATATAAATCTTTTTTAAATCACTACATAGTATAGTATTTGCATAATAATTTATTTAGCCAATCACCTACTGTTGGGTGTTTAGATTATTTCCATTTTTTTGCCACTATAAGCAATGAACATCCTATAATGTTTGCCACTATACTGTGATGAACATCCTTATAACATTCATCTTTACATTTGCCCAGGTGAATTTCTTAGCAAGAATAATTTAAATGATTCTTAGGTTCTCAAGTGGTCTCATGCAGCTTTTAACCACTAATGAGTAGACCCTTTGCTGGGTCAAATGGTATGCAGGCTGACAAGTATATGCTAACAAGTTGATCCGCGAGGAACACTATTAATTTTGCACTTTCACTCAGGGTCTTTAAGAATGTCTTTTACTTCAAAATCTCCCCACACAACATATTGGTGATTTTTTGTTTTACTTTTACCAATCTGATAGATGGTAGCTTGAATTCGTTCCATACATTTATTAGCCAATTATTTTTATTTTTTGAGAATTTGTTTGGCATAGCCTTAGTCTGTTTTCCTTTTGAACTATTGGCCTCTGCTTTATTTAGAGAAGAGCTTTGTCTATTAAATCTATCAACCCTCACTTCTTTTTCATTTGACCTTATTTACGTGTTTTTTTCCATAATGATTTCTTTTGTTTGGTAGGTTTTGGTTCAATGTAATACTAGTTTTCTTGTCATACTTAGAAGAGATCTTTCTATACCAGGATTACAAAAATGTTCATCCATGTTTTAATGTTTTATGGTTTCTTGTTTTGTATTTAAACCTTTGTTCCATTTTGAGTTTATCTTGGTATAAAAGATTGAAGTATGGATTCAATTTTCTTTTTTCCTTGACAAGCCAACCACCCCAACCCTGTATACTGAATAATTCATCTTAATCTGGGTCATTTGAAATGATTAATAGTGTGTGTTTGATGTTCAAGCAGTGGAGCTCGTTGAACCACAAGTAGCCAGGATGGAGGCCTGGGTTGGGGTTAGTTCTAAAACCCTTTTGAAGTAAATTTATAATGCTATGAGGCATTTCCTCTTTATCATATCAGAAATATAAACTTAGTCTTCATATTTCAAAAGTCTTTTATAAATTTGTACATAATACATAATATTTAAGTTTTCAGAGTTAACATGTTGCTTTATTTTGTCTTTTTCCACCCATAATTTGTTTCTTATGTTCAGAGCAGGAAAATCCTAGGGACCTTAACAAAGTGATTTGATTATAAGTGCACTTATTTCCAAGTTGAGAATCCTAATTTAAATTTTTTCAGAGACATGTAATGGAATGTTTTGGAAAAAGCAATAATAATCAATATGAGCACTGCTGTGATTTTTTTTTCCAGTTTTAATACATTGTTAATGTTACAATTACTTTATATAATCAAATAGAGTCATCTGACATGCCTAGATATAATTGCTTTTCTCTTTTCAGATAATTAGTTTGTTAAATGTGTTTACACCACAAAAAACTCTAGAAGAATTTCAAGATGTGTAAGTATCATTTTTATTCAGTAATGCACTTTCACCAAAGACTGAAAATTTAGAAAAGAAAGTAATTGCTTTTTATTTCCTAAAATGTAGGTAGTAGTACATTTTTAATGATATTCTTAGCCATTTTTTTTCTGTGGAAGATAAATGTTAAGGAAAATGGATACTCCATATTCAACTCTTTGTGCCTATTTATCATTTCCATAACAGATGAAAGATAGATGAACATAACTCTTCAGAGTAGACATTGACCATTAATGACATGATCTGCTTTACTGAAATATAAAATGTTTTTTCTCCAGTCCTCTGAAAGTCAGGGTTGTAGGATGCAGGTATCTCTAATTATTTGAAATGGTTAATCCATTAACTATTTGGTGTCTTGAGAATATTAAATACAATTATCTAACTAATTGTGAGATCAAATATTAATTTATAATGTTGAGATACAGTGCCCAACTCCATCCTAAATTTATTTGCTGTATTCATTCTTTCAACAAATATTTCATTGGTAACCATGTGCTAGGCATTCTTGGACTTGGTTTCCTTCTTGACTGAAACAGGTAAAATCCCTTTTATTACATAAGAGTAGTAGGTGGTAATGCTCCCTCCTAGATCCTGCCAGGACAGCCAGGAAAGATAGATAATCAAGGAAAATGAGATCATTCACTAAGGTGAATGAGTTGTTGAGAGAGTGAGTTGTTGAGAGGCTCAGAGTCCTGGGAATTAGAAGTCAGGTTGTGTTTGTAGGGTGGTTGGGGAGAGACCTTACTGGATTGGTGACATTTGAAAAAATCCTTGAAGGAACTAAGGGGGTTAACGCTACAGATATTTGGGGGAAGAGAATCAAGATAGAAAGAACAGGCTGTGGGAGGAAGTGGGAGTGGAAACCTGCCTGATGTGTCCTAAGAACAATATGAGGCTGGCAAAGGGGAGCGGAACAGGGTGGGCTCAGAGGAGCCAAACGCTGTTGGACCTCTGAGCCTTTGTAAGGATTTCCTGAATACATTCAACAGGAGTGAGTTTACCCAACTTATATTTTTAATGGATACCTGGTTTCTGTGTTAAGAGCCCACTATAAGGGTTGGGGGCACAGGAGGCTGGTTGGGAAGCTATTAAAACAATTCAGATGAGAGATTTAGTTGGCTCTGTTTAGACAGAGAGGTAATAATAGGGTGAAGGCGGGAGATGGGATGTTAAAACTGTTTTGAAGGTAGAGACGCAGTTCTTGCTGTTACAGAGGACATATAGTGAGAGAATGAGAGGCATTGAGAAAGTCAGCTGGAATTCTGCCCTGAGTGTCTAGAGGATAAAAGTGCTTTCAATTTTTGGAGGTGGGATGGAATGAGGAGTGTGGTCTTTAGGTCTGAACTTCAAGATGCCTGTTGAATATCCATGTGGAACTGTGAAGTGGACAATTAAGTAAATGATCCTGGGGTTCAGGAGAGAAATTTAAAGCTACACGTTTAGGAGATGTTATGAGTGATATTTAAAGCCTTGAGACAAGAGATTGTCACCAAGAATGTGAGTGTAGTGAAAGAAGAGTAAGCCAAGGACCAGGTGCTCTGTGGTCCAATATCAAAATGTTGGGGAGAGGAAAAGGGCATAATCAGCCAGGAAGATAAGAGGACGGTTTCAACAATAGTGGTGGTGGAGAAAGCCTAATCAAAATGGGGTTAAGAGAAAATGGGAAAGGGGCCTCCCAGATGGCACAAGGGGTTAAGGTGCAACCTATGAAGCGGTCTGCAGCCGCTGCAGCATGAGTTCCCCATGAGCTACCCACATGGCGCAGCAGACCTCTCCTGACTCACCCGCTGCTCCCCTTAGCAGTGTATTTCAGTCAATATGCCTGTTCTGATCCCCACTCTGTCTCCGGTGAATCCTCTCACCCCCCCACACCTCTGGCCTGTACCCCAATTCTTGTATGCATAAACAAATAATTAAATAAATAAATCTTTAAAGTAAATAAATAAATAGGAAAAAATAGAAAAGATGAAATATTGCAATTTACAGCAAAATAGAAGGCATTCAAGGGAATTATATTCAGTAAAACAAGTTAGAAAAACAGATACTAGATATTTACATAATGAACAATTCAATAAAGCACAATATTTATAAAAACTAACAGACACTAATACACTAAACAAAAGGTTTCTGAGATTAAGGTGGGGAAAAGAAAGAGTCAAAGGAGTATAAAGAATGGTAGTGAGAAAAATAAAACTAGAGAATGGGGGATGAGTATAGATACCTCTTTGGGAGTTTTGCTTGCAAAAGCAGTAAAAATGGGCTGGTAGCTGGTGGGAAGAATGTGGTGAAAGGTTTTCTTAAGATGAGAGAAATAGTATTATATACTGGTAAGAATGATCCAATAACAACAATTTAAGATGTAGGAGAAATTAAATGGATGAGATTCTATTCACTATGATACAAATAGTACTTTCGTTTTCACTTGAAAAACATTCTTTAAATTGTTTTTATATTCTTTGGAAAATTTTCACAAAGTTCCGTTGTATTTGTTTTTTTTCCCCAAGATACTCTATAAATATTTAGAGAAAGCAAGTTATGTTTTTACATTAGCCAGTACACTGATTATCAGATAGGGAGTTAATAGTTTCATAAAAGTTCTGGTTTAGTAATCATAAAGGGATTTTGGATAATTTTTATGTGGTACATGGCTGATTTTTTTTCTCCTCAGGTATTTGGTTATGGAGTTAATGGATGCTAACTTATGTCAGGTTATCCATATGGAGTTGGACCATGAAAGAATGTCCTACCTTCTTTACCAGATGCTTTGTGGTATTAAACATTTGCATTCAGCTGGCATAATTCATAGAGTAAGTAGTGACACCATATCTATTTTTAAAATCACAGTCATTTTGTTGTGCTAATTCTCCAGATGCAAAAGAACTTAACATTAAAAAAAAAACTTTTCAGAGTTGAGTAAACTATGAGACCATGTTATGTTTCCAAATAATGTTGAGACTAGAAGACACTTGTGGGGCCTCCCCCACAAGTGCTGTGAAGCACAGTGCTGTGAAGCTGTCCACAGCCTCTGCAGCACGGGTTCGATACCCGGCCAGCCAGGGCAATACCCAAATGGCACAGCAGACCTCTCCTGTCTCGCCCGCTCCTCCCCTCAGCAGTGTATTTCCTCAGTCTGCCTTTTCTGTTCCCCTCTCTGTCTCTGGTGAATCCTCTCACCCTACCGTGCATCTGGCCTGTACCCCGGTTCTTGTGTAAATGAATAAATAAATCTTTGAGAGAGAGAGAGAGAGAGAGAGAGAGAGAGAGTCTAAGAGGTCTCTAATGCTTTTTAAAAAAAAAAAAAAGAAGAAGACACTTGTGGTGCCCCTGGTTTAACTGGGCCTGTGCACATGCTGGAACCACATGTGCTCCAGCTGCTCAGTATAACACTGCTAAGGAATTGCTTTTAAGTCCAGGGCCTGGCTCACTGACACCTGATTCCTGACCAATGTGCTGTTATTTAAAATGCAGGCTTTGCTGCCACCAAGTGTTTAGTTAAAATAATAGAAATTCTGTTGACAAATTTGTGCTAAAATATTGATACTACTACTTTCTTAAATTAAAACTAAAGACCAACTTACCATTCTATTTTTCTTCCTAAAATTTTCATAGACCTTCATATAAATTAAAGCATTTTTAGTAGCTCTTAAATATGTTTTGTGTTATATTCATGTTCCAGAGTAAGTTCCCAGATTATTAGGCCTTATTATGCTAGTCCTGAATAATTCTATGACAGGAAACATTTGCCTTATTTGTTTCTCCCCTCTTGGGCCCAGAGACTCTTGGGGACATGATGCCCTCCTGTTCCTGGAGGGAATAGAGCAGGGTCTGTGGTAGAATATTCAGTCCCTGCAGCTTGTGCCCCCTTAAAGGGGGTCCTCAGAAGTGTTTTGTTTACCCAGCATAGTAAATAACTCCCTGAGCCAGCTGTCCATCCTTTTCATCACCCCACTGGGTTTCACCACTCCCTCTTATCTTGTACCCTCCTGTTCCGAGCATTCTTGGGCCGGCCAGCTAGGCTTTGTGTTTGCTGTGAAGGTATCTCATGCCTGTTGTGGGAAGGTAGATGAAGCAAATAATGAAAGACCTTGTTCTTCCGATACCCCACCTCCAACCCTCCAATCCAGGTCCCAAGAGATGATGAACTGCATGAAACCTTTAGTAAAGCATAAAACCTTTAGTCTTATGTCAACTGTCCGCCCCAGTCCATCTTTCTTAGTATGACTTCAACATAGATACACACTGTCAGTTTTGCTTATTAAAATGATTTCATACTAAATATAAAATTTATTATTTGAAAAACACCCATAGTCCCACCACTTTTTATTTTATATAATTCGAAAATTTAAAAGAAGTGAAAAGTTTCCCAGCCCTGTGATGGCAGTTGGCTGGGCTTCCTTCCTTCCTTTATGCTCATGCTCTCTTCTTTCTTATGCTAACACCAACATATCTGTTTATACCTAGGTCTTTTTTAACTTATCTTGTACATAATTGTTCTGTAACTTGCTGAACAAGTTGGTTGATTTATTTATTTTTTATCAAGGATCAAACAGTTTACAAATTCTTAATGAAAAAACAGAGTTCGTACCTCTTTCCTCTTATTTCTCTCTCTAGAAGCAAGCTTTTCACTTCTTTCAGCTGATTATTTTAGTGTTAACTTCTGTTTGGGAAGAGTATGATTAGCTCTCTATGTGTTCATCTTTCATCAGTGGGAAGTACTGATTAAATGCTTTCTCCCCTCCCAGTCTTTGCCCACTCAGTTTCCTATTCCCTATTCTCCTGTATAGTTAAAATGTAATTAGGTTTCCATCACTATCAATATGTGTTTTCATCATTATGACTGTATTTTTCACCTCCACCTTATATTTTGTACCCTGGTTGTATTTCTTTTCCCTTCAATTTTTTTGTCCCTGGAGCTAAACAACACTTATCTTTTGTTAGAGGTTTGGCCATTTTTGTTTTCTTTTGTTTTTTTAAGGAGTGAGTTATTTCCTGTGTTCTTATTGCTCATTTAACCCTAAACTTTCTGCAGGGTGTCTCACTCTTCTTTCAGGTACCTAGAGCATCCGGAAATCTCTTGGGAGCTTCAGTCCTCCTCACGTCTGGACCGGTTGCCCCATACCTGATATGGGGCGGGGGGTGGTCCTGGCATTTTTGGGGAGATTTCCTTCAATACTCTGGTGTTGGAGGCCTTGTTTCCCGACCCCATCTCTCTTTTTCTAAGGTTACTTCCTTTGTAGGGTGGAATATATCCTCTAAAATCTTCTCTAGGAGTGATGCATGGGAGGTGAATTTTTTGAGGGCTCAAATATATGAAGCTCTTTCTTTCTGCCCTGTCACATGATTAATAGTTTGGTGGATATAAAATTTTCAGTTACAAATAAATCACCTTCAGAGCTATAAATGAAGTACCTCGCTGTCGTATGACTTTTCAACTTTTAATGCCAGCAAAATGACAGGTCCTTTTTTTTTAAGATTTTTTTTTTAAGATTTATTTATTTATTTATACAAGCACTGGACACAGTCAGAAGTGCGGGAGGGTGAGAGAATTCACCAGAGCCAGAGCGGGGAACAGAACAGGCAGACTGACGAAATACACTGTTGAGGGGACCAGCGGGCGAGACAGGAGAGGTCTGTTGCACCATGTGGGATCCTCGCCGGCAGCCAGGAATCAAACCGGTGCTGCAGAGGTTGCGGCAGCTTCGCAACCCAGTGCTCAACTGCTGCGCCACCAGGGGAGGCCCCTTTATGACAGGTCCTTTGCAAGTGCCCTGATTTGGGGTTTTTGTTGTTGCTGGTTGGTTGGTTTGTTTTTTATCTCTGGAAACTTTTAAAACTGTTTTTTTATTCCTTGTATTCTGAAACATGATGGAAATGCTCTTGTTGACTGTGGTGGGCACTTTATGGGCCCTTAAGCCTAGAAGGATGTTCATAGAGTCTAGGAAATTTGTACTCTTGCAGAATGCCCTCTTTACTGTGTGCTTTATTTTCTCTCTTCTGAAATACCAGTGAGTTGAAGCTGTTTTTATCCTGAAAGTTTCATTTTTATTGCATTTGTTCTTGTTGCATGAATACACTATCATCTCTCTGAGGCAAAATTGTTGTGAAGTGTTTTATTGCTTTTGCTATTGTTTTTCTCTCCCCTGAGTTTCTTTTTAAATGCATTTGGTCTTGCCCTGTCATCAGACTTTCCCCAAAGGGATATCTGGTGATCCCTTGTCATTTAATCCTATTTAAGACTGAAACACTGGAAGGCCCAGTTGGACCCAGCCAGTGGATACACTTGGCAGTTGGAGTGCCCTCTGCACATTATTGTTGGCCTATGAGGTGAGAGTGTGTGGGAAAGGCCAAATGGGAAACTGAAACTGCCCCCTCAAGCTAGTAAAAACAAACTGCACTGTAAGGGGGTGGGAAGAATGAAGATTAGTGCCACCATTAAAACCTGTAGAATGCAACAATTGTGGTCCCTCTCACATCTCAGTTTAATTTACTAGCCCAGTGCTTAAAGAAACTAGAAGGCCCCTAACAAAGACTGTAGACAGTGAGACTTAACCAACTAGAGTCCTGACTGCACCTGCCATGCTGGATGCAATATAGTTGCTAAAGCAGGTCAGTAAGGCCTCTGGCATGGTAAATGCATTCCTCCATACTGAACAGAAACCATTCGCACTTAGAGGGATGAACAATAGTCATCTTTCACTATTTTGTCTTAGGCCTATGCCATAACATGGTTGGAAGAGTTCTAAATCAGCTCTCTGTTTATTACCTGGCCCCCCTCTAAGTGGGTGAAGTTGATGATACTTGAGTCTTGCAGTTTAAAGAACTAAGTAGTAATACAAATGTCTGCTCAGTCTACTCAGATCCCAGGGTATAGACACCAAGTAAATAGCTCTAGGTAGCTATGGGGAAATCAAGGCAGTTCACACTTGTAACAATGTGCAGGATCCTACCTCCTAGGACTCCCTTTTCAGTCAGAGGGGTCTGATCTAAGAACTAACCAGGAATGATTTATGGGGTGATGCTCTCACCCCCCATTCCTTCACTCTTGCCCTTTTTGGTTACTTATTTTTAGGACTCGTTTGCTACTCCAGGGATGCTCTAATGCCCCCCCCCCAGTAGAAAATAAAACATTATTTTAACTTTTTTTCCCCTTGGTTTGGGTGTTTTTCAAGGTTTGAGGAAGCAGAATGCTCTTTATCATCTTGAAACTGAAGACCTAGCCTCTGGTTGTTTATGGAAGCTGATAGGAAAGTGTTGGGGAATTAGGAAGCCCTCAGGAGCCCCCAGGGCCTCTGTAAGCACCTCCCAGTTGGCAAGCATCCTGAGCTGGTAGACAGCCTCCCACACTCCTGGGCTTGAAAGGCTGTTCACATAATGGAGGGTCCTGTTTGCATTTTATTATGATAATTTCCACTAGATGGCAGTAAAGTGTGTTGTTCCAATAAAATCGGTTTAAGAGCAATTTTCTTATAGATGGAAGTAGCTGGAGATGGACCTGTTTTCTAATTCTCTCAGTTGATGTTAATCAACCTTGCTCATGTGGCTATGCTAAAATCCAAGGCCAGACTGAATTTCAGGAGCTGCTGGGTGGTAAAGTTTATACCTTTTTAAAGTTTTGAAAATTCCTCCTCCTAAAAAGAAAGTATCTGTTGATGTTCCCACCATGGGTGGGTAGGGGGGAAGGTAGGGGAATCTGCTGCTGCTTCTCCCCAGCATGGATGTCACCATTCTTTTTCACACAGCCTGCTAGTCTCACAAAGAGACTAAAATGGTCCCTTCTCTCTCTCTTTTTTTAAAATTTTGTGAAGTTGAACATTGTTTTATCTGTTAGTGATTTGTATTTTAAAATGCCTGTTCTTGGGGCCTCCCCAGTGGCGCAGCGGTTGAGCGCTGGGCTGCGAAGCTGCCTGCAGCCTCTGCAGCATTGGTTCGATCCCCGGCTGCCGGTTGAGGGTCCCACATGGCGCGCAGACCTCTCCTGCCGCCCGCTGCTCCCGTCAGCAGTGTGTTTCTCAGTCTGCCTGCTCTGCTCTCCCCTCTGGCTCTGGTGAATTCTTTCACCCTCCCGCGCTTCTGTCTGTACCCAGTGCTTGTATAAATGAATGAATGAATGAATGAATGAATGAATGAATGAATGAGTGAATAAATAAATCTTTAAAATAAATAAATAAGATAAAATGCCTGTTCTTGCTGTATTCTTTGGTTTTAAATAAGCAAACTGAAAACACATTGGTTTGCCGTAACTCACCTCTGCAGGGGAGAGAGTTGCTAGTCTGAGTGTGGGCTGATCTTCCTCAGCTTTACTTTGTGCAGAGTAGTAGCTACAGGCCAGGGACTGCCCACAGCAGTAGCTCTGGGCCCAGAACATCTCATCAGGACACCAGGGGAGAATCGCGTCTGCACAGTACCCTGGACCCAACTAGAGTCACAGGGCCTGGTAGGAATTAAGTGTGTATGTGTGTGTGTATGTGTGTGTGTTTAGCTGAGGTAGGTAACATTGGTTATTTTAAACATTATGTACTTCTGATTTATATTTTACTGAATCCAGGAAGTTTAGAAAGAAGCCATTTCCCAGTAGTATAACATAATTTTAATTTGTGATTGTCAAATGATTTTCTGCTTATTCTGATAATGCTTCACAGCTATCGCTGTCACGAGTCATAATCTGTGCCCATTTGTAGCAAGTCAGCCAGGAGGTTTTAGTCAGTGTGAGACCTGAAGCTTCACACACAGGTCCTACTGTGTGGCATGACTTGGCATTTTGACTTTGCAGTGGAATAATACTCTTGTGAAAAGAATGAATATGGATTGTTTAGAAGTCACAGTTTTTAGGATTACTTTGCAGATTAAAGTCCTCAGGCAAAGTCACATTCCTGTGGCCTGACGAAGGGGGTTCATTGTGGGGGATCAGCATGAAGAAATACCCTAGCACAACTGCCGAAGTTGTGTGAAAGCACTGAGACTATAATGGAGCAGATGTCCACTCAGCAAACATTGTTGGGCTAAGTTCTGAGAGCTGAGAGCCCAGCCAGGGCCTCCTCTCAGAAAACCTGCATAGGAGAGGAGGAGGAGAAAACGTCACAGTGGTATGTGTGGCTGGTGGAAGGGAGAAAGTGAAGGGGGAATTGGGATTTCTGATCAAGAAATTACTCCAAGGAGAGGGAGAGCTATGGGAAGATTCCAGGGGCAGAAAATTCTGGCCCTGTGCTGTGAGTATGCCCCCACTAGCCACACGAGGCTAGTAAGCGCTCAGAATGTGCTGTCAGTGCATTTCAAAGACAACACCAAAAATGAGTGCAAGATACTACAATTTTTTTGTTGTTGGTTATATTTTAAAATGGCACTATTAATTTTACCTGTTTCTGTTTATTCTTTTTAAAGTGGCTACTAGAAGACATAAATTACATATGTGGTTGACATATTTTTGTTGAATTGTGGAGAAGAGTTGGCATATTAAGGACTGCAGGTGGGATGGGACGATGGGAAAAAAAGAGGGGTGGAGGGAGGAACAGGCAGTGTAGACACTCTGAAGGTTTTCAAGCAAAGGAGTGTCATGAAGGTTTCCACATGATATGAGAGCCACCGCCTTACCTCTTCAGGTTAATTTGTATTAGTGTCAACTTAGGAGCAGGGTTTTCCTAAATTGTTCCAATAATCACTTCTCACTATCCTTCTCTAGCATTCTGGCATATTTCAGTGGTCACGGGCTGACCTCACAAATCCTTACCAATGCGAGAGTGTTTATTTAGCATGCTATGGCTTGTTTTCCTAACTTAAACCATTTCTGTTTTAGGATTTGAAACCTAGCAACATTGTAGTCAAATCAGACTGCACCCTTAAGATCCTTGACTTTGGTCTGGCCCGGACAGCATGCACCAACTTCATGATGACTCCCTATGTGGTAACACGGTATTACCGGGCCCCTGAAGTTATCTTGGGTATGGGCTACAAAGAGAATGGTGAGTACAAAGGCAAATGAGATGTTTAAAGATAGTGCTGTTACTGGTCATCACTGGTTCAATTTTCTCTTTCCTGGTGACTATGTGAACTCTAATGCTGGGACTAGACTATACATAGATTATCATAGTCCACAGATAAGAAATAATTAATTTTGCATTTCCATTTGTTAAATTCATTCACTTTTTAAATTTTACTTTTGAAATAGATAATTGTGAGCATTTATGAAATACAACATTAAAAGTCTACAAATACTGACTATGCAGCTCTGTGGGAGCACCCCAATGTAATCAGGAGCATCCAAGGCTTCCCTGGAGGGGCTCAGCCCCTAAGGGAAATCATTACCCTGATTTCAGCACCATATGTTGGTTTTACTTATTTTTTTATTTGTTATAAATGTATAATACATTTCTCTTTTTGTGTGAAATTGGTGGTTTTTTTTAACATCAAAGCTTATTCTAGCACTATTAGAATTCTTTGCCAATTGTCGAAAAGAACTAAATCACATTTATGTGTTCTTAAAAAGTCTGAAATTTGCCCACATCATCTGACATGAGTCTTGCTTCAGGTTTCATTAGTTCCTTTATAACCTGTGATTCCTCTCAAAGAGATGCAGCTCTGTGGGTTCTGCTGTCCCCTGTAGACGTGAGAGAAAATAAGAGCCCTGGTTATCTTCCCACCTGCCCTTACCACCAGCAGCATTAACTGGCCCTCTGCCTGGCTGTCTGAGGCCTGGGGTTCTACGGGGCCTTGCAGGAGAGAATGAATGCTAGGAAGTTGGGTTAATTTTGGCCAGGCTTCACCCAGAGCCCATGGAGCAAGCCTGCACTTGTGAGGCTCTGCTGACATGGCAATTTAGAAAAGAATCAAAATGGGATCTGTATTTCACAAATGCCTACATCAGCAAGCTGGGTTCATCTTTGTTGGGGAGGGGGTTTGAGAAAAGACATGTGGAGTCTTGGCTGGTTTTAATCACCTGGTGTTTGGTAGTGGACATCTGGTCTGTCGGGTGCATCATGGCAGAAATGGTCCTCCATAAAGTCCTGTTTCCAGGAAGAGACTGTATCCTTCAAAGGGAGAGAGACCCAGCACTGGCCATGGAGGTTGGGGTGGTGAGGGCATGTGGCCTGCAAATTGCTTTGTGTAGAAAGGCACTTCTTGTTTCTGGATTTGTTTGTATTTTAAGCTGTCAAATATTGGAATCTTTGCCACTAAAACTCCGATTGCTGCAAACTGAAGGTTAAAACAGAGGTCAGCAGTCATTCATACTACGTAAAAAGTTCACCCTTAGCTAGCAGTTTATTTTTCCATATTTGTGTGTTTAGTACACTGTTAGAATTCCTTTTTCTCACCTTTGTTTTGTTCATGGCACTTCATAATTTTATCATTTCATTTTATTTTCAGTTGATATCTGGTCAGTGGGTTGCATCATGGGAGAGCTGGTGAAAGGTTGTGTGATATTCCAAGGCACTGATCGTATCCTTCCCGGGACCTTCCCGGCCATGCTTTCCATTAAAAAACAAAGGCAGCAGGAACTCAAAGGAAAACTTCGTCATCCTAGACTGTGATCTGAGGGGTTTGTTAAATTAGTGTCATAAACCAAAATGGTTCAGTTTTATATTTTCTTTTTTACTTCACTTTAATGATTTTATTAAGGCTTGGAGTTAAGTTAAAGCAGTTAGCTCTTTTATCAAAAATAGTTTATAAGAAATTACTTACTCTTTAACAAATATATTAAGGTATTTAAATAAACATACTTTTTATTTAGTTCATTCAGTTAACTAGGAAAGTTGCTATCTACATTTTATAAGCTAGTTCTTGTGTAATTGAATTAATATGCTATTTTGTTAGTTATCAGAATGCATTAAAATATTTTCCCCCAAAGTAAGAACTGAAACACACTATATAAGACCTAAGTAAAAAAGATTAAAATGAAGTTTGTGAGGAACAGTATCTGTTAAATTTTCTTTTTTATTACACTGCTGACATTTTGTAGAAAGTTTTTTTAAAGATTCATCTGGAAGGTTATTTGTGACAGACCAAGGAAGTCTAAATAAATTTTAAATGCAAGAGATTAGCTTACATTGTGATCAGTAAATCATATTAATGATACGTAGCATCAAGGAGGATAATATAATAGTTATGATAGCTTTCTTTCCTCATATTCCTCATAGTCTCCCATCTTTAATATTTTTTACTCTAATGTGGTTCTTGATTTAAACTTTTTCATTTGTGTTCTAACCACTTAATATTTTCATTAGTCTTTGCTCTTGCTTTTTTTTTTTTTGAAAGCTTTAAGTGGTCTCTGTTGGCAAATTGATGGTTATTTTTAAAGGAAATAAAGCTGTGTAGTCAGTGTTTTATTAAAATAATTTAGTTTTTATTTTATGAGAGTAGTTTTCTTGTAATATAAATTCTTCACAACATAAACTTAGAATAAAATTTTTATTCCTATCATTTTAATTACCTTCTTTTGCATTTTCTGCATCACAGATTTTAATGTGAATTAAATATGGAACATTTTATTTTATTTGAATCAATTTTCTAACACTTTTACTACTCTTACTGTAGATTCTCTTGCTTCAAACTGTAATTAAAATGAGGTGTTTATTTTGCAAATAAACTAAATTAAGCAGGGGAGAGTTTACATATTCTGAAGGTAAACACTTTAGAAGTATCTATGTAACATTCAGTTTGTCTCAATTCTTAATCATTTTGTACTGTAATCTTTTTTTTTAATTAAGAAATGTTTTCTTCAGAAAGTGCAAAAATAAAAAGTGTGATTACTTTTTAGTGCATTAAGTAATTTAAAATTCAGACTTTACTAATTTAAAATTCCTGCCTTACATATTGACAGCTTAGAGTGTCGTAATTAATAGATTTGCATATAAGGTTACCTTTTGTCATTCTCAAAGCACACTTTAAGATTAACATTTTCCAAAAGTTTTCACAACTTTTTCCAGTATTAGATGAAAAATTATTTGGATAGAACAAGATTCCGAAAAATTGATTGACGTTCTCAGAGATATTATATAGCCTAGGGTAGAAGGAATTCTAGAGAGAGCTTTAGCCAAACCACCTGGTGCCCAAGTTCTGACTCCCAATGGCAGTTATAAATCCTTGAGGAGTGAGGGAGAAACGAGAGACCTGTGGTGGTTAAGTGACAAGAGTCATGCACATGCTCAGATCAGCCAGGCTCATTGGGATTGTCTTCCTTTTCCTACCTTCCTGTAGTCTGTAAAAATGACTCTTTACCACAAATCCAGTATATACTGAGCACCTACCCTGTTTTTGGAAAAGGATTGCTCGAGCTGCTGAACTGCAGGTAAACAGCCCAGAACAAGGGGAGAATCAGAGGGACCATGGGCTGTTGCAGTCTTGACTAGGAGATGATGCCGGCTTGTGCCAGGAAGGTGGATGTGAAGGTAGAGAGGGCTTGAACTCTGTAACTGCTTTGAAGCTTGCTGCTTAACAGAGCTTTGTTAGAATTTTGAGATGTCTGTTAGTGGAAATATCAAGAACACGTGTCAAGAAAGAAGTCTGGGATAGAGAAGACCTCTTGAAACTGGTGAGTACTGAGAGAGAAAAGAGCAAAGGACAGGAGATGAAGCTGCCTGAGGTGGTAGGAAAATGAGAAACAGCAAAAGGAAGCAGAGTGTTGCTCCTAGAGAAAGAGGCACCATACAGGCCAAGAAGTAGAGCACCAAGGGAGGTTCCCAAGATCTGTTAGAAATGTGAGAACCGGGCCTCCCCAGTGGCACAGCGGTAGAGCACTGGGTTGCGAAGCTGCCCGCAGCCTCTACGGCTCCAGTTCGATCCCCGGGTGCTCCCCGGCCACCGGAGGAGGGTCCCACATGGCGCGCAGACCTCTCCTGCCGCCCGCTGCTCCCCTCAGCAGTGTACTTCAGTCCTTCTGCCTGCTCTGCTCCCCGCTCTGGCTCTGGTGAATTCTCTCACCCTCCCGGCTTCTGACTGTACCCAGTGCTTGTGTAAACAAAACAAATAAACAAATAAATAAAAACATGCCTCTATTTAAAATATATATATATATATATATATGAGAACCAAGGATTGACCACTGGAGTAAGGTATGGTCACTGGCAACCTTGATAGCAGTTTTCATGAAGTATGGGGGAAGCCTGATAAGAAGATGTTAAAGAGATAATGAGGGGCTGGGAATTGTACAAATATAGGGAGCTGTTTAAGTTAGTTAACAAATGGGAGTGAAGAAACTGAGTGAGAGCAGCAGATGTGGGACCAAAAGAAAGTAGCATGGTTTTTGCACAGGAGGAAAAAAATCAGGTTTGAATGATGATAGCTCTAGTAGAGGGCAGAATGGTACCAACAAGGAGAAAGAAATTGTAGGTGCACTGCATTCTCTTGTATCCTTGGTTACAGTTTCAGGGTGACTTTCTTTTCTCATCATACCTGTTACCCCATGAAAGAGGCAAAGCTGGTATTTTCTTCATTTTGCAAATAAGGATTTGAGACCCAAGGGAGATTGCCCAACACCCAATGAATGTCTAATGCACAAAGGAGTGTGAAACCCAGGTCCTGCACCTTGAAAGAAAATAAAACACACTCCTAAGTGTTGCAGTGATGGGGTCAAAGCCAAGTAAAACAGAATGGCCCTTCAAAGTTGTCACTACTCGTTCTAAGCCCAGTTATGGGAAGGTGTGTGATCCTGCGCCAAAGGCCGAGCGGAGAACTCAGGGAGCCCAGAGCCCTGTTTCCTGCTTTCGGCATCACCCGCCTGTCCTTGCATCACTGGGGCACTGGCTCCCCACCTGTGTACTTAAGAGTTGAGTAGTTGCTGTAATTTAAAGAGCTTTGAAGGCCTCCTAGGTTGCCTGGGGATTAAGTCTCAGCGCTGGCTGCCACCATGAAGGCCCCCCAAGGTGGCCTCAGTGCCACCAATCCCCAGCCGGGGAGCTACCCACACGGCACAACAGACCTCTCATGTTTCACCAGCTGCTCCCCTCAGCAGTGTATTTCAGTAGATCTGCCTGTTCTGCTCCCCACTCTGTCCCTGGTGAATCCTCTCACCCCCCACACCTCTGGCCTATACCCCAGCTCTTCTACACAAAAATAAATAAATAAAATCTTTTAGAAAAACAAATAAAAATAAAGAACTTTGAATCTAATATAGGTTTAATATGAAAAGTGATTTGTTTTAATTGTAAAGTTGTTACATTCTCGATGTTATATTAGACGTGTAGGAGCCCCCGCTTCAGGTATAGTTACCATAGTGCACCCACCACCAAAGCATCCATAGTCCACCACCATAGTTCAGTTTCCCTATGTAATGTTTCTCTAATTTCATGTTTATACATTCCTCTCATTCTTCAGTTATAAGATAATCTTATTTTGATCTAGAATAGGAAGGCATACAGACCTCATTGTATTCATTTAACTGTGATCATAGTTTTTAAAGATGCAGTGTAAGAGTTGTTTAAATTACTCTAAACGTAGAAATCCGAGTATTTTCCAATATTATTTCAAAATGCTTCTGCTAACCAAGCGAGGTGACATAGGTCAATTAGTATAAATATAATTTAAGATTTTCTTTGAATGGTGTTAGTTTGTATAAATACAAGGCATTCCAGTTGTATTTTCCTCAAGAAACTCGTTAGATATTGATCAGTGGAATAAAGTTATTGAGCAGCTAGGAACACCGTCTGCAGATTTCATGAAGAAACTTCAGCCAACTGTGAGGAATTATGTAGAAAACAGACCAAAGTATCCTGGAATCAAATTTGAAGAACTCTTTCCAGATTGGATATTCCCATCAGAATCTGAACGAGACAAAATAAAAAGTAAGATGTTGTTTTTCCTTATTTGTTTTCATAATCTGAGTGAAGCTTTCATTTTTTCGTTTACATTGTAAAACCCATGAACGCTGAGGAGCCTCGAGTCAGGTCTAAGCTGGAATAAAGATAACATAAAGAGAAAGAAGTGTTGTCCTCAATAATTTGGTTTAACTGAAGTCTTGGGCCAAAATAAAAATATTCACATCATTCTTAAAGACTTTCATGTTAATTTCAGCAATGGAGCTCTAAACAGTTTTGGTGGTATAAAAAAATAACAAAAAAAAAAACAACACTTGAAGAACCTAGCCCAAGTGAGGAGTCAGAAACCACACTTTAGTTGACTAAGAAGACACTCCCCTTCTCTATGCCCAGCACTAAATTGTTTAAGGGAAAGAATAAATTTGTTTCTCTCCTTACCAAGGTAAACTGTGTCAGTCAGCAAAACCCTGTCTCTTCTTGACCTATGTATGTGAACTTTAACTGACCAAACCTAGGTGAGCCTTGTATCTGTTGGGTATTTTCTAACGAAACTGCGGATTTTAAGTGTGTATTACCAACATTGTATACAGGTAGGTCGAGCAGAGGCATCTGTGAAGTGTCATATACTCTCACTTTTGGCACTGCCACCCTTACCTCAGCTCCTACCCTTTGCTACAGCAGCCCTGGGCCTCTCGAGGCTCCTGTCTGAGGTCAAAGGCTGCTCGGTGCCCTTTCCACCCTCCGCGCAAGACCTGTTTCTCCTCCTCTCTGCCCAGATCCAGAGCCAGAAAAATTAAGATTGAAAGCCTCGTTTTTAGTGAAAGTGTCTACTTGACTTATTCTTAGAAAATGGTTCTTTTGTGGACCTCCCCGGTGGCGCAGCGGTTGAGCGCTGGGTTGCGAAGCTGCCCGCAGCCTCTGCAGCGCCGGTTCGATCCCCGGTCACCGGGCAAGGATCCCACATGGCGCGCAGACCTCTCCTGCCGTCCACTGCTCCCCTCAGCAGTGTGCTTCGTCAGTCTGCCTGCTCTGTTCCCCGCTCTGGCTCTGGTGAATTCTCTCACCCTCCCGTGCTTCTGACTGTACCCAGTGCTTGTATAAATAAATAAATAAATAAATAAATAAATAAATTTTAAAAAAAGAAAATGGTTCTTTTGATCTGGAACCTACCAAAACTTTCTCAAAGTTAATACATCTCAAAGTTAATCTATCTGCATTGCCACATTTCTTTATTGTTTGATTTTCAGATGAACAGCATTAGTTTATTTAATCTAATATTTGTTTTCACTCTAGCAAGTCAAGCCAGAGATCTGTTATCAAAAATGTTAGTGATAGATCCTGACAAGCGAATCTCCGTAGATGAAGCTTTGCGTCACCCCTATATTACTGTTTGGTATGACCCTGCTGAAGCAGAAGCGGTAAGCATCTGTTCGAAAGACTTACTGTCAAGGAAGGGCTTACATGTACTTGGATCTTCTGTCAGTGGAATGGCTACATAAAGATAGCAAGAACTAGATTTAAAATGACTCCAGATTAAAAAAGACTGTGACAGGGGTCACAACTCCTTTGGGGACACTTGCAGCTAGGGCTATAGCTCAGAGTGCCTTAGGAGGTCATATGCTTATGCTGTGGTGATGTAATTGTCTACATTTATATTAAATCATAATATGATTTTTCTAATCCATTGTGTACCTGACACTGTCTTGGGCTTTGGTTACATTATCTTATTTATGCAGTCCCTTCCCCCCTCCCCCGCAATCCAAGAGGCTGAAAAACTTGCTGAAAAGCCTAAGTTTATTTCTTCTTCTCTAGAGGCACCTGCTAGGGGAGTTAGGCTTATCAGCCTGGGTCTCCCGTGCATTTTGCCACAGCAGCATTGGTGTGGCTGCCCTTTAGCTGTAAGGTGACCACACAGTGGCATGCCTATGCCTATGCCAGCAGTAGAACACGTTTATGTCTTGGCATATGGATTTTAAGCATTTGTCACATAAAGATATTATTTTTAAGCAAATCTTTAGACTAGCCCATTTATATCAGGATTGATTTGTGAGTCCTAAGGGAAGTACTGTCAACATAACTCTCTTGTGCCCCATCTGTATTTCCTAGCTCAGTATCTCAGTTGCCAAGGTAGGTCTGGCTAATTTTATAATTACTTGTGAACAGATGTTTTTAGGGTGTTTTGATGTCATGTGTTAATTAAGAAGACCATAATAGCCATGTTTTTAATTTTTTTCTTAATTATTAGATTCTGAAGCTGATATGTCACACTTATGAAAATACCTTTAGTAAGCCATGTATTGAATGAACCTACATCTATAGCATAAATAGAAGCCACCCAAGTTACTTTTTCTTCATGTCTCATTATTTTTTTAATTATTTACTTTATATGTAATTTAATTTTTAGCCACCACCTCAGATTTATGATGCCCAGTTGGAAGAAAGAGAACATGCAATTGAAGAATGGAAAGGTAAAGACAAAATTTATTTTGATCCTTACTTATGACATTTTTTTTTTTTTTATAGAGGCATTTTTTTTTATTTATTTATTTGTTTGCTTGTTTTGTTTATACATGCACTGGGTACAGTCAGAAGCGCGGGAGGGTGAGAGAATTCACCAGAGCCAGAGCGGGGAGCAGAGCAGGCAGAAGGACCAAAGTACACCACTGAGGGGAGCAGCGGGCGGCAGGAGAGGTCTGCGCGCCATGTGGGACCCTCGCCTGGTGGCCGGGGAGCAGCCGGGGATCGAACCGGCGCCGCAGAGGCTGCGGGCAGGTTCGAAACCCAGCGCTCAACCGCTGCGCCACCGGGGAGGCCCTACTTATGACATTTTTTTAAATTGAAGTCACACTGCATTCTAACAGTATTATATAAATATTAGCTTTGCATCATTACAAATCAACATCTTCTGTATTCTTTCTAAGGGAGAGGTAAGAAACCCTGCGGCCTATTTATCCTACTCTGCCCACCTCACAGTAAAAGTACAGAAGGAACTTGAAGAACAAAATTAGAGAGGAACATGTATGAATTGCATAGCATTTGCTTTGAAAGAAAAAATAAGAACTTTTCCACATGATCTTACATTATCAAATCTTAGTTTATAAATTGAATTCAGGGCCTCCCCAGTGGCGCAGCAGTTGAGCTCTGGGTTGCGAGGCTGCCTGTAGCCTCTGCAGCGCCGGTTCAATCGCCAGCCACCAGGCGAGGGTCCCACATGGCGCGCAGACATCTCCTGCGGCCCGCTGCTCCCCTCAGCAGTGTACTTCATCAGTCTGCCTGTTCTGCTCTCTGCTCTGGCTCTGGTGAATTCTCTCACCCTCCTGTGCTTCTGACTGTAGCCAGTGCTTGTGTAAATAAATAAATAAATCTTTTTGGAAAATAAAGAAATAAATTGAATTCAGTAATCATAGCACACTTACCTTCATAACATCTTGCAAATTGTTGAGTAACCCCAACTCAGAGACACCTGTAAAGCAGATATGGGGGACTCATCTGGGGTCACTGAGCTTCTGCTGCATTCATAATCTGTATAGTTGTATGTATATTTTTAAATAAACTTTGGAGAAAATGGCAGATCAAAAATATGCAAGTAATTATTATTATTACTGTAAGATTAGCCAAACAGCCCACAATAAACTAAACCAATGCTGAACTAATAATTTTTCATTAAAAAGTAGAATCTTTAGTAATTAAGAACTATGTTCAATGCAGTCAAATCAGTCATCTGTCCTGCCCAAGGGCTCTGCCCTCAGGATTCAGGGGGCCAGTGCCTGAGTGTGCACACACTTAGCAAGCAGTTGCACCCAGCCACACTCCCACTCTCATAGGCTTCAGTAAATATTTGCAATGTGCTAATTTTTGTCCATGAATACAAAATTTTAGGAACTCCTAATTAGCTTACTTAGTAGGTAGTTTTTCTTACAAATGAAAATTGAGATTGAAGCCAAGCAAAGATTGAGGTACTTGTATTAATTACTGGCCAGTCTGCAGGGGTGTCTAGTACACATGTGGATGCTGATTCATTTGTAGAACCTGATGGGGACAAACATGCCAGTGGGCGTGAGAACATCTACTGCTTTAAAATGGTCTGTGAGAACCATTCTGCTTGTTGGTTCTCTCCCTCTCTCCCCTTTTTTCCTCCCCCTTATAGATTCAAAACTATCCTACATTTTTGGCTGCCTTAATAGTAGAATTGAGGGGCCTCCCCGGTGGCGCAGCGGTTGAGCGCTGGGTTGCGAAGCTGCCCGCGGCCTCTGCGGCGCTGGTTCGATCCCCGGCTGCTCCCCGGCCACCACAGGAGGGTCCCACATGGCGCGCAGACCTCTCCTGCCGCCCGCTGCTCCCCTCAGCAGTGTGCTTCGGTCCTTCTGCCTGCTCTGCTCCCCGCTCTGGCTCTGGTGAATTCTCTCACCCTCCCGCGCTTCTGACTGTACCCAATGCATGTATAAACAAACAAATAAATAAATAAATACATAAATAAAAATACATGCCTCTTTAAAAAAAAAAAAATAGAATTGAGGGCCTCCCTGATAGTGCCAGGGGTTAAGCGCCAGTACTATGAAGCGATCCGCAGCCTCTGCAGCACGAGTTCCATCCCAGGCCAGCCAGGGAGAAACCACATAGCGAAGCAGACCTCTCCTATCTCTCCGCTGCTCCCCTCAGCAGTGTATTTCAGTCTGCCTGCCTGTTTTCTTCCCCTCTCTCTCTATGGTGAATCCTCTCACCCCCCACACCTCTGGCCTGTACCCTAGTTCTTGTATGCATAAATAATAAATAAATCTTTTTTAAAAATAGCTGAAGAGAGAATGAGTGAAAACATGGGTATTTGGGTGTGGGCAGACTTTTAGTGAATTAACTTTATCTCACAACTAAAATTAGCACATCCTGCTGCTCTTGGACTGTTCCAATTGATTTGGAAGCAGGGTTTAGAGATGCAAAGAAACTGATATAGTATCTTAACCCGAATTTCTATTTAAAGAGCTAATTTACAAAGAAGTAATGGATTGGGAAGAAAGAAACAAGAATGGTGTTGGAAAAGATCAACCTTCAGGTTAGTGATTGCTTTAATATCTTAATTGCGTAATGTTTTTCTTCCTATCTTCAACTTTCATAAGTAGCTGTAGTATGTTCAGTCCCAACTTGACCAGTGTAGGAATTTGAAAAGCCCATGTGGAAAATGTCTGTTCTGGTTTGTTCTGGTGGTGGCAGGAAACATTCTACTGATGTGCCAGCACCAAGTTAACCACATCATAACCATTCTTGTTTCATCCTTGCAACAACTGCTGTCAGCTTCATTTATAGATGAGGAAATTAAATTGAGACCCCTTTCAATGTGCATGCCCCTTTGTACTCCTCCCACCTAGTTTAAATTATTGTGAATCTAGGTGAAATGGGATTTGATTTTCTTTTGAGAAAATTGTATAATTCTCCCATTTTTCTGCTTCATCTAGAAGCCTGACTAACAATTTGGTAATTTTTTGATTATTTGAGGCATAACATATGGTATTAACTTATGTTGTAGGGTTCAACCTGTTTACTAAATGAAATATTTGGTGTATATTTTCCCACTCACCTTTATTGGTGCTCACACATTTGCTCACATACCACAAATGTGGGTTGCACTACTAAACTTTTTTCTTGAATTTTATTTTCATCATGACATATGTGTCACGTGCCTAGAGCTTATATAACTTCCACATGAATTTTTAGATGTTTGTTAGCTAAGTGCCAATCTAAGACTGCAGACACTGACCTCTGAGTGTGCAAGTGTTTTATCTCTGCTTAGAACAGACGTAAATATGCATAGTAGAAAATAGGACAGTTTCATTTTCCTTAAAAGGACAAAATGAACTTTTCAGGATTTATAAAAATAAATAAACAAGAAAGCACTACTTTTTTTTTCCCTTTTGTCTTTTTTTATTTGTATACAGTCCTCATTTCAGAAGGTGTTTTTTATTGGAAAAGAATCCCTCAAAGGTTTTTCTTGGACTAAGTGTTTAGGATTATAATCCTAAATGCTGTTTTTCTTGGACTAAGTGTTTAGGATTATAATCGAAATATCTGATGCAGCTGATTCCTATTTGAGCATAGCCCTTTTTTGTGCTACTGGTAGTTTTAGGATAAATTTAGCAATTTTCTTATCATATCTTTTTAGAAGCAGCAGGTATTTTTTAAGTAGCTGACATGATTACACATGAGCATATATGTGATGGTTAGCCACTGCGAAGCAAAGGAGAATGTTGCAGGGAAAGATCCAAAACTGTGTGGGATTTAGAGCCTAAAAAATGACTCCAGGAAAAGTTTGAAATGTATGGTCAGCTAACTTCTCATTTCTACTACTAGCTAGGACAGGAAACTACAAAAGGACAGAGTGGAGAAATGGTTTAAAGTGTCACTGCCTGGATTTGCAGCTATGTCATGCCTCAGATTTTATTATATTTGGTTTTCTTAGCACAGATGCAGCAGTAAGTAGCAACGCCACTCCTTCCCAGTCGTCATCTATCAATGACATTTCATCCATGTCCACTGAGCAGACACTGGCCTCAGACACAGACAGCAGTCTGGATGCCTCAACAGGACCCCTTGAAGGTTGTCGATGATAAGTTAAAAATAACAAGTTTGTCATCAGTGAAGGAACTCTTGCTTCCATGGGCCTGAAATGCTTGGGAATTTTGAAGGAACCAAATAGAAAACTCCATGTTCTGCATGTAAGAAACACGATGCCTTGCCCCCTACTCAGTTCTAATAGGATTGCCTGCTTAGATTATAAAATGAAGCAAATTATGTCTGATGAAAAAAAGTGCAAGCCACACTTTTAGAGATTTTGTTCAAGATCATTTCAGGTGAGCAATTAGGTAGAGGAATTATTATTTTTAAGTATTACAGTAATAGTGTAACAATTTCTCATCCTAGGTAACTGTTGGAACTTATATGCATGTAACCACAGTACTTGCTCATGCCATCTAGTACTTGGAAATCAGTATTTAAATGCCAAATAATCTTCCAGCTACTGCTGCTTCTAGAATTATCTCTTAATCCTCTTTAGTAATTTGGTGTCTGTCCAGAAAAATAGATTCGTGTGTATTAATTGGCCAATACCATATTATCATACCTTCTTTTATGGAATGATTTATTCTATCTTTTGTATTTCAGAAAGAATATAATTAAATCTATTTAATAAATAAATAAATAACTTTCTTAAATTTGTCATGTTTTGGGCTGAGAATTTTCACTGCTAAAATCAAGACACTTTGTTTTCTCTAAACTGTCTCAGTCTGAGATGACTGTCCTTTCAACGTTACTGCATGGTGAAATTTTAAGCTTTGTTTTTATGCTGCTGAAGACATATATACTTTAAAATCCTATCTTCCCTCTCTTTTCTTGGTCTTCTAGACTTATTTAAAATGCTACCTTGAACTTTACCTTCTTTGTTAGCCACATGACACTGTGTGTCAATAATATGATGGCAGATAGGTTCTTGAATCCATTATCTACCATTAGAGCAGAATCCTACAAAATGATCACCAAAGATGACTCCGGTCACTTATTAAGTGCGCACTTTGCCTGAGACTAGACTGGGTCGGTCCTTTCTCACCTTAAGTAAGTCTTTTGAGGTCAGCTACATGATTAACAACAAGGCACCTTTCTCTTTTCCAACACTACCTTCTTTATTGACTTTCGTTCTTTACTAAAAGAAACCACATAAATCCCCCTTAGTTCTATTTCAGGAAGCAAGTTTGTTTTCCACTTTGTGGAGGACTTTTCTTTTCCTAAGGGAAATCCACAAATATTCTTGGAAAATGTCTTGAGAGATATGGGGGAAATGCCCTGAAGAGTAATAATTAACTATTGAATATTTTCTGATTTAAAACTGCTCACCTGAAATTGATACTTTCAGACTAATGCATATGGAAATTATTCAAAATTCACTAAGATACTGAGTATTGAAGTGTCACTGCAGAAATGGAGTGTGATGATCATGTTTTGGCTACCTGTGCTCATAATGCTTTTTCCTTGAGCTTATTCTGTTATAGATTCATATCTTGTGTTTAATTATTTTGGAAGTTACTGGGTCAATATTCTATGGAATGTATTCTGAGGAGGAACTTTCTGAGGAAATTTATTATAAATATTATCTAAAATATCTGATTCTCTCTGCACCAGTTGTATCTTACTGGTTGGTCTTATCACTGGAAATAGGAACCCTTGATGAACAAAATTAATATTGAAATGATAGTTTTATATTGTGAGGTTTAGACACATTCAGGTACAAGGTGGGAATACCAACTTAGATAGAGGCAGAAACACCTATTATATGGTTTGGGGTTATTTGGGTTTTGGAGACTTGGTGGTATAGTGAAGAAAGTTATCACTGTAGCTAGACAAACATCTTAAAATGGCCTTCCCTCTAATATACATAATTTAAAAAGGCTTTACTAAATCTATCTTTAGAAAGAAAATAGAAGAATGGGGAGAGTTTTAAAAATGCATGATCTGTCCTAGGCTTATATGAATGCGGCCCAGGGATGCTGAGGGTGCATGTAGTTCCACCTCCCCAGACAGCATTTGTTAGTGGAGCTTGATGCCCCACAGATAAGCTTTGTGCTTACTCATTCCTCTGTGCTTTTATGGAGGACCCCTGCCGTGATGGTGTGGTCATGTTTTCTGCCCAGACCACCTCCCATCAGGTACACCTTAGACTGGCCTCAGGGCTGCAGACAGCAAATCTCCATAGAAATACCTCACCCCACTTTAGGGTCCTCCCTCCTGAGCCGAGACATGCCAGGATCCTGGTGCAATGCAGATGGTTTCAAACTGCACTTGATGGTAAATGCTGATGTCGCATAAAGATCTGAAAAATGTACACAACTTTTTCATCTTTTCTATTTTATTTTTGTAATTTATATTGTACACAACCCTGGAAGTAACTATTTTGGACACATATTTTTATAAGCCAGGTAATTTATTAGTAGCCTGGAAGTTGACTAGGTTTGTTTTATTTATTGGCTTAGTTTCCAGTCTAAAAGGAAATGACTGCCTCTCCCTATGTCAAGTCTTGATTTCAAGTGCAGGTTCCAGAGAGCAAACAGAGTCTATCAGAGTAGGATAGCAATCTGGGAGCACGGGCTGCTCAGGGCTTCTCAGCTGTAGTCATGGAGGTGGAAGAAGGGCTCTGTTCTTTTCTTTGGGACCTGAAACTAAAAGCCACAGTACTGAAAGGAGAAAACCCTTGGCAGAGCCCCTCGCTAACTCCTAGAGTCCATATTTGAAACATTGACTGGGATACTGGTTTAATCCAGACTTGACACCATGTAAGTTCTGGTGATGATGTATGAGTTCATCTGGTCAATATCTAATGTAATTCCTCGGTATTTCATACTGGTAGTAAATACAGGTGTGACATTTTAGATTGCATATCTCAAAAGTAACATTGCCTAATGTTTTATAATAAAATATATTATGTGTGTTTTGATTGGTGAAAATAATACAGATACATTTTAAAAGAGAAATGTATAGCATGTCCAATTTTTGTGTCCCTAAGTGACAATTGACTGTATATTTCTACATCACCATCTCTGATTACAAATTTAACATGCACGTGGGTAGATGTCGGTGTGTCATCATTTCAGTCAATCTGAGCAAATGTTTTTAAATTGAAAGGCAAAATGTTCTGTTACTTTTCCCACTGAAAAATATTCTGCAAGTTCCCAAATCTAATTTTCAAAAGCGTACAGTATTGAAAATTCAGAGTGTTGGTATAGTTATTTTTTCATAAGGTGTGGTCAGGAGAATCCACCAGTCCACCATTCCTAATTAAAACCTCACTGGGACTTGTGCTCTTAAACAGTTTTGTGCACAAGATGAACCATTTTCATTTTGCTTCTAATTTGGGGTTATTTTAGGATGTTTGCTACTTAAAATCACAGGAGTCAAAGGGCCCTCAATGACTTGCTTTCTTTTTCTCTGCTTGTTTATTTATTTATTTAATTTATTTCTCTGTTAAAAAAGGGCTAGAATCATCCCAGGTAGAGGAGTATCCAGTTATTTTTCAAGATCTCTGAAGAAAGAGAACATTTCTTTTGATACTGGTCTAGGTTCCATTTCTCTGTCTCACTCCTGGCCCACTGTCAATTTAGACAGTACTGAAATACTTTTTTATTTATTGACTGAAGTGGTACCTGTAAGTAGGTAAGGTTACTGGTGGGAGAAAGGGTAATACTTCAAAATAATGCAATGTTGTCCTGAAGATAGTGCGGCCACACATGTGAATTTAAGCCTAGGGTTGCCTTTGACAATAAGACAGCTATTTGATGGAGAGTTGGTAACAAAATCAGTAATAATGATGACAGAGTGGCCAGCCACATTTCTTTGAGGCTATATGTGACCATGATTTAAGAGGCACCCCAACCTTCGCCATTTCCTGATCTCACCCACTGGGAACTTGTCATTTACTCTGGCCTCAAAGCCTCGGGCCTCATGATGTTTCACAATTTGAAAGAACAAGGCTTTGGGGTCCAGGGGTCCTTGCGAGCAGGTGTCTTTGCTACAGTCCTGTGCTGACTGGCTTTCTAGAATTGGATGGGAAATTCAGAATAGGTTCTGTAACTCCTGAGGAGGCTGTTCCAGGAAGGGAGAACAGGTTTGTCCTCTGCCTGCTGGGGTACATTCATGATGATCTCATTCATCTTGTAGTCTTACACTCCTTTGAGAATCTGATGAAAACAGTGACCCTCTCCCTAGAAAAATACCATGAGCATAAGATTCTGCCAAACTTTCTAAGGAACCCTAGCCCCTGGTGGATACCATGGTAAGAGCCCCTTTCTAAAAGCAGCTTCTAGATGGTTCCCGTTCTTGAAAGGAAACAGAGCGTATAGGAGGTTTTGCTGGTCTTTTCTACTCTTACCAGCTCTGACACTTTTGCACACAGATCTTGAGTTTAAAGCAGGTCATCCTCACTTTGAGCCCCCGCATTGGTCAGCATTATTATTTGCTATCAAAAAAAAAAAAAGAATATAGAGACTTAGTTCCAATGAAATGGATCATTTTCTTCATCCTTTCCATGTGGAAATTAGTGCAAGTTTGAAAAATAGGAGCTACCAGCTCATGATACAGACATCATGGAAACAGGCATAATTAAATGCCTCTCTTCATTTCAAAGTAGTAGTTCCATGCTGAAATTTAAAGTGAATGCTCATCTTTTACTCAAATCTCTATTTTAAATTATTGACTCTTTAATATTTTCTCTGAAAACTTCCCTATGACTTTCTTAGAATTTTTCTTGGCATGCTTTAAAATTCATTCATTCACACATTTAAATTTCATGGGAATGGGAATGGAGGGAGAAGTTTCTAGTTCATCCCCACCTCACCCAGAGCAGGAATCATTTGAAGAGCACACCCAGCTCCTGCTCAGATAGTTGTAATAAAGGGAGTGCCCGTCGCACAGGCTTTTGTGTACTTTCTCAACTTTGACATTAGCGAGTACTTTCTCAAAATGAATTAAACCTGCCTCCCACAGCTTCCACCCATGGGTCCCAGGCTTTTCCTTTAGGTGAAATGGAGCAAACGTGACCCATTCATATGTAACAGGCTTTACAGCATTAGTTGGAGAGGTAAGCATGGAGTGTTCTTCTTCAGGTTAAACTCAAATTCTTCCCATCTTCTCTCACATGAACCCCCTCCCCCATCCCAGAGCCTCACCACCTTGGTGCAGAAGTGAACAGGATGTTCCATATACAGCCTGAACAGCACACCTCCAAACAAGCCCCGCAGTAATCAGTGTATACTCAGGTGGCCTTAACAGCCGCATTGTACTCAGAGCCTGGAGTCCATCAATATTACTGGGTTTTGTGATGTTGTAATTAATCCTATCATCTTTCATGAGCGTTTTCTCTGTAAAATTGTGACATCTGTCATTTTATGAGCACGAATGTGCTTTTTGAAAATCCATCCAGGTGGTGAGCAACAACCTTGACCTGCAGGACAGAACCCTCAGGCAGACCCCAGCAGTCTTAGTGACAGAGTCCAGGTGACCAGCACTTTGTCCCCACATCAGTAGGGCCTCTCAGCTCGACAGCAGCAGCATTCAGTTCCAACAGAATGTTACCTCTGCACAAGATCAGGAAGAAGGATCTTTTTTTTTTTAACTAACAAAATTTTTTAATTAATTATTTTTTATTTTTTTACATTATTGTTCA